GCATCTATTAAGCAGCTGCTTACATACACTTTTTTTTTTTTTAATTATTCGGGCCCTGGCTGGTGTGACTTGGTGGATTGAGCATCAGCCAGCGAACCGACAAGTCTCTGGTTCAATTTTCAGTCAGGGCACATGCCTGGGCTGTAGACCAGGTCCCCAGCTGGGGGCTTGCAAGGAGCAACCTGTCAATGTTTCTCTCATAAATAAATAAAATAAAATATTTTTTAAAAAACTGTTCAGAGTTAAAATAACTTAAGAGTTCAAATCAAAGTACTTGTTAATAAACACTTTATTTTTTTATTTCTTTTTATTCAAGTATAGTTGGTATACAATCTTATATTGGTTATGTAGTTTCAGGTACACACTATAGTGAATCAACATTTTTATACCTTACAATGTGATCACCCCACTAATTTTATTTATCATCCGTTGCCCCATAAACTTATCACAATATCGTTGGCTACTGATTGACACTTTCAGTTTAACGGGAAAAACTTTTGAGGTATTTTACTAACTGCTAAACTTCTCAGCCCACCTCATGTTGTCTTCCAAATATGACTGTCCTGCAAGTGACAACAAACTACCTTCCATCTCTCATCTAAGACTTTCTCCAAATATCCAGAACCAACTTTCCCAGACCAAGCAGGTATTCTCAAGTGCCGTATCTGCCCCCAATTGGTCTAGTAACCAACCTTTCTCTAAATTAAGCAAAAACTTCAAAAGGAACCTACATGCAGCGCTGTACACCACGTCAGAAATGCCACCTTACAGTCTCTGCCTGCACAGCCAAGTGCTTGGCTCTGAAGTTAATTATCAAACCACAAAGTTCAAGGGGGACTTAATATCTTTTAGCACAACATACAGACCACATTTCTTGTTTTTAAATTATGTCCTTTAGTGATCATCTAGAGATAAAGAAAGCTGAGTAAGGTTATAAATACATTCTTGAATAAAAGAAACTAAGAAATAATTATATACAAATCTTCAGATGCCTCTGAGTTATAGGCAAAGGTTTACAAACTTGTTAAAACCTTCTGCAGTGAAATCATAACTCTTCTATTAATAATTTGTCTTTGTTCTTATCCTCTCTCCCACTTTTGCAAAGTTTAAAAATGAACTTACAACAACCTGACCGCATCCTTTCTATTTTAAATCATTTTCCAATGAGGCTAGTACCACTTGAAGAAAGCATACAGTCATATCAAAATCCCACTCCCCGAAGTCCAATGGTTCAAAATCTCCCAGGTAACCAAAATCCCTAGAGATTTTCATCCAATTTAACAATTATGTATAAAGAGAAATATTTTTTTAATTACAAAACATCACAGTTAGATAACCAATGCTATTTACTAACAGAAAAAATGTCCTGCCATAACAAAGAGGTACCATTTACTGATTACATGTTCTTTTATTCTCACGTATTCTGAAATATTGGCTAACTGCCAAATAATTCCAGAAGGTAAAGTTTTGGGAAATTATAAGGTAGGAAAAGTTTAATATAAAAATATTTAGCATTCAAATTACCTGCCTACATAATGGTCTTCTGCAGTATCTGCTTCTGCACCATCATTCTATAGCTAAGCCTAATCTAGCTACCACTGTGAAAGCAAAAGTAGCTTACAGAAGCAAGAAGACTATGGATAGGCAAAGTGTTTTTAGAGAAAAAATTCAGAGTCTAGAAGGAAACAAATATCAAAAAAGAAAATTCTCTTTTTTAAGAAAGAATTTTAAATACTGTTTTTCAATTAGAGTTACATTCAATATTATTCTGTATTATTTCCAGATGTACAGTATAGTGGTTAGATAATCACGTACTTTACAATGTGTTCCCCCCATATTTCCAGTACCCACCTGGCACCACACATAATTACTACAATATTATTGATTATCTTCCCTATGAGAAAGTTCTCTATTATATGTATTTCCTGTTTCTCATTGTACATCTTTTTAGTTGCATTCTTTAAATTTTAATAAGTTTTAAATTAAGTATCTAATAATGCAAAAGCTAAGAAATCTAAAAAGATTCTTCAAAAAAAAGTGAGAACCAATAACTCAATAATCAGTTACTCTCTTGGCTAATGATGCTATAAATCTTGGGGCAGAGTGACCAAATCCAGCTTAGCTGTTAGCCAGTTGGCTAGCTAACTTAGTCACAAGAAAACAGACTTATTCCACAAAAGCAAATCTTTGAACTTTGTGGACTATGCCCCATTCAACCCCACCACAGGCCTCACACTGCTCCCAACTTTCTATTACACAGGTGTCCTAATGGTAAAAAACACACTTAAAACTTCAAACTCCTACACTTCAGAAACAGAAATAAGAAAAGGTACAGAAATATATTAAATGGCTTTTGGGAAGGTTAAACAAATTGTTGAAGTACTTGCTCTAGTGGAGAGTGTAAAAAAACGCAACTTCCTAGAGGTCTAATACAAAAAGGTATCTTTATCATATTGAAATTAAAAACAAATCCAAAAAAACACCTGACATAATTTTTAGTTACCTTTTGTTTTTGTTTTCATTGCTAGAGTTTTAACAATTTGATAGACCAAATACCCTGCATATATAAATCAAGTTAATTGCTGTCATTTAAAATGTTGTTAAAAGCTTTATACCCACATTCTATAATTTATGGAACTTTAAAAATAATCAATTTTCATTCGATTTTCTCAGCAAATTCCTGACTTTAAGGAGCTGATTCATCTACTGACACCTTAAACTGACTTTCTGGAAAAATTTATGATTCAAATTTACTGTCTGCAAGTATACCTACATTTCAAAAATGGGAATTCATTAATACTGGGCCTGTAATCCCAAGGACTCCCAAGAACCACAGATCCAAACCTGCCAAGTACAGCCTGATAAAAAGTGACCTTCTGCCTAAGAAGTCTCCAAGAGCAGAATTTTTAGTTATTCTAGATAGTAAAAACCCAAGAACTGTTATAAAAGCATTTAGGTTCATGGCAAAACGACCATAACTCCAGGTTTACACCTGTATTTTCCTTCAGCTTAATTATTACTATTGCCCACTTTCACCCTCAAAGGGTTCTGTTTTGAAGCAAAACTCATCAGTGGTGGTCACCTTGGGGAGGCAGGAAGGGTTTACTGAATGGGAGGAAATATAAAGGGAGCCCTTTGGGAGGCTGAAAATGTTTTATACCTTGACCTGAGTGTTGTTATCAGGCACACGCATATGTGGAAAGTCAGTGCACTGTACTCTTAAGGATCTTACTGTAAGTTAGACCTCAATTCAAAAAAGTAAATAATGTTAAAAACACACTGAAATACATTTTAAAATGTCTTTGTCCAGGTAATAAGTAACATAAAATCATCCTAGATATAGCTATCAAGATGTATTTTCCAAATGTATTTTAATAAAGATGCACAGTGAGCACTTTTATGTAGAACATTTTAAAATACTAATTTTTTCCACCAAGCTTTACAATTAAAAACACACAAAAATATCTATTGACTCTCTCATTTTGCATATAAGGAAAACAATATCTATAAAGGGTAAGACACGACCCAAGATAAGGCAGCTATAGTCAATGACAACGGCAGTAACAGAACCCTTTCCTGATCTTGAGCCACTCCCGTTTCCACCTGGCCGTTACTTTTCTGACACTGTAAACAAATCTGAACTATGAATCCACCTGTGGCCTAGAGGACTGAACACATCCCTCAAAACACCGCCAACAGGCCCCAAAGTACACACACAGACACGCACTCATCTTCTGTCTCTCAAGACAGTTGGCAAGTGGACAATCATTTTCAGACATTTTTCTACCAATGCAATAAAGTATGACACCATAAAAAGCAGTTCAAGAAGGCAATGCAGGGATTGACAAAATCCATCTCATTTCCTTTCAAATCTCTTTGATGGTTACTTGGTTCTCAAACTACATCACTGCTAAATAGGGCACAAGAAACCTGGTTTGGGGCCGTTCATCAGCACTGCCTTGAGTGCCCCCCGCCCTGGGGAATAACCCCCACTAAATAAAAACCATCTCTGATAGTAGCGTCCTACTCCACTCCTAGCACCTTACGAGACCTGTAAGTGACCTGTGCCTCACGGTTTAGTTTTACACCCCAGTGAAGAGCTGACATCTTGTGAAAAACTTAACATAACGTACATCCTTTCCGCGGGAATTTATTTATGTTCTCAGAAGGCGTTTCTGCTCCCTACAGAGCAGGCCTTGCTTCTCGGGACACTCTGCTCGCCTCTCCACTGCCTCCTTTTCAGTCTCCAAAACGTGACTTCAAGAACAGAAATCGAAATGGTCCCGGGCTCCAGAGTGGCAGACTGGGGCCCAGGGTCCGGCGAGCCCACTGTCCGCTCGAGGGCGGCCCCGGGAGGGCCCGGCTCACTCCACCACGCCGGCCCGAAGCAACCGGTAGCGGCGGCCTCCAGACGCTCCGCCACCGCGCAGCGGCCACCTCGGCCCTCAGAAGTTCGGACCGGCGCGCCCCCGGCCTCTGCTGCGGGTTCGCGCCCCGGCCCCAGAGCGAGCCCGGGGGGCGGGTCCGCGGGGGCTCGAAGGGCGGGAGCGCGGGACGAGCGGGGAGGGGCGTGCGGCGGGCCCAGCGCGCCGGGAACTTGGGCGCTCGCCGGTGCCGCCGCCCGGCCACTTTCCTTTCACACCCAGGGGTTGCCGCGCGTCCAAGGTGTCCGCCCGCAGCTGCGGGCCACAGCCGCAGCTCCCCGCTGCAGCGAGGAGCCCAGGCGCGCTCCTGTAGCCCGGGTGGCCGGCGCGCGGGGCCGCGGGGGCGCGCGAGGCCGCGCGCGGGCGCCGCGCTCCCCCCGACCGCCCCCGCCCCCAATGTGCCGCTGCCGCCCGTTGGCGCCTCAGCCCGCGCGCCCTTTGGCTCCCGGCGGTTTCGTTGGCAAAGTTGCGCCGCCGCGTCGAGGGGGGTTGCTGCGCAGTCCTCCGCCCCAGCGCCGCCGCCGCCCCTTCAGGCCGCCGCGCGGGAAGGCCCAGCCGGCAGCCCCGCTTTTTTACCTGCCGGGAGTTTTCGCGCGCGCGCTCCTCAATCGCTCCCTTTTCCCCTCTCGCGCTCGTTTTCTTTCTTTCTTTCCTTCTTCTCGTTCCCCAGCAAGGGCGCTTTTTCCGCTCACGCCGCCCGCGCTCGCCCGCTCGCGCCCTCCTTCCTGCTGGGCTCGGCGGAGCGGGGCGGCCGGCAGCTCTCCCCGCCCCCCTCCACCCGCGCTCCGGCGGAGGCGGCGGCAGCGGCGCTCCGCGCTCCGACTCATTCCAATATGGCACGGGTGCAGGGCGCATGCGCCCGCGCCCCCCCCCATCCGCGCTCCTCCCGGCAGCCCGCGCCCCTCGCGCCGCGCGCGCGTGGTGCCCCCCAACCCGGCCTCTTCGAAGATGCCCGTTAGTCATTTCGCCCAGCACCGGCCGCGTGGGATGCGGAGCCCTCCGTGGACTGAGGTGCTGGGGGTCCAGCCCCACCAGCCAACCCCGCCCCTCGTGCCACCAGCCCACAACTTGACGCGGACACCCCCAAGGCTGTGGCTCAGGGCACGCGGCAACGCCTCCGGCCCCCGACAGCGCTGCGGCCCCGCGCGGACGGGTCCTGACGAAGAGATGCTACCCCAGAGATCCAGCGCCCACCCTGTCGCTACTCAAACCCACGAGGGAAGGTCCCCTGCCTCTCACCTCGGGCTGTGGACCGAGCCTAGAAAACCTAGTGGCGTCCCCGGGTGGGTCCTGGTGTCTGGGCCGGGGCGAAGCTCTCCGCTGTCGTCTGCACGTGACCGCCTCCGGCAAGATAGCAGGAGTGGAGGAACGGACGGAGCGGCCGCCGGGTCCCAGATGGGCGCGAGTCGCCGCTGGAGAGGGCTGCGTCCTCCCGTTTGGCCCACGTCGGGAGTCCGGCGCGCGTCCCTTGAGACCTGAAAGGGCATCCAAGTGTCCCCTTGTGCCTATCAGACTCGAGTCCTTAGGTTCACTCCAAGTTTCCAGGCTTCCGCAGGAGGCACCCTGTAAATCCGAGTTTTCCTGTAGCGAGGGGCCCCGGCGAAGGGCACGAGACAGCTCCCGAATTCGAGACAGAAGCTCGTAGGTCGCTGCAAACCGGCCCCAAAACTGGAGGTGCCCACGGGCGGTTGTTCCCCGAGCTCGCTCCTGAGCCAGCGAGCATAGGTTCTGTTGGGACATCCCTATCACCACCTGCTCCAGAAAGTTCCCTCCAGAATGGAACCTCCGCGCCGCGGGGACCCAGGAGTGCCCCGACTCCCGGGCCCGGGAGGGGCTTGGAGGAGAGGTCTCGGAAAGGGTGCTGATGGCTCCTGTCTTGCAGGAAGGAGGAGGCAGTGCCAGACCCGGGCTCAGGACACTTCCCACTGACCTCACCACCGCGCTGGGAAATAGTACCCCACTTTGCAAATTTGCTCAAAGTCCAGGTTTTTTATTTCACTTTACCACCACTGAAACGACGGTATGACAACCAGAGAGAAAGAGAATTGTAGAAAGAATATAGTGTCCGTGATACAACTACTAATGCAACTTTTTACTAATAAAACCTCCCATCTATATACATGTAGTTTACATTGTTGCAACCACACATTCTCATTTGTGTTTGCTCCTCTCCCATTTTTCTTTTGTTTGTATGATCCATTTTTTTTTTAAGATGTGCAGGTATCCTCATCCATTCACACATTCTCCTAATAAGGTATGTTTGAGTTCTTTACAGTTGTTGGCTGATACATGCTTTCAATTCTGTACTGGGGACAAACTCGTGGCAGCCGAATTATTCAGATCAAAGGCTAAGAAACGGCAGAGTGGTCTTGCTCCTTAGTTGCAAATGACTTTCTCTAAGAGCTGCCCAACTCATTCTGCCGCCTCCTAGGAACAAGTGAAAGGAGCTTAATATACATTTGTAAGCATTGGGTGCCATTTCGTTTTTCCTTATAATTTAGTAATTTTGCTGGTTACTCTAGCAGTTCTTAGATGACTTTTAAAACGAATTTTCCGACGAATTTACTATCTGTATTCCCCTTTCTATGAATGATCTGTTTGTTCATAGTCATTCACTGTTGGGGATTTGAACCTCTTCTAATTTTGACTAAGGACTTTTTATATATAGGTATTACCCCATATCATCAGTAGGGCAAATATTTCCCAGCCTATTGTTCAGTTTTGTTTTATTTTAATGTTCAATCTGGCATTCCAGTCCTTTGTGATTTTTTATTGATTCACTGCTGACAAAGTGAGCTTTCTTCCACCCATCTGATAATTTTCTGCTAGTTTTCTACAATTTTATTTTATATTTAATTCTTTGACGATTATCCATTCCAAGTTTATTTTGCTGTGTGGAGTAAAATATGGATTTCACCCCCAGCATCACCAGTTTTTATTGCTTATGGAGTCATCATTTATTAAATAATTCTCCCCTTATCCTTCATTTAGTAAAATCTTTTATGCTAGTCTTTTCATGTTGCCTGATCTATTTGTGAAGTCTCTATTTCTTTTCCTAAACCTCAGTTTTAGCAGCTACCATATGAATCTAAATGTTGGTTTTTTTAGAATAGGATCTGACACGTCAAGATTCCCACTTATGAGGTCTTCTTTTATTCAGAATATTACTCATTATTCACACTGGTTTATGTGTCCATACACACTCTAGGTAATTAGATAGAGGTTAAGATTGGAGATGAAACTACCCATGTTCAACACTTTGTTACCATCCCTGTGATATTGGCAAGTTACTTATCCCCTCTATAGGCCTTAGGGCCTTAGTCTATAAAAATGAGAATAAGAATAACGCCTGCCTCACAAGCTCAATACCTAGCACATACTAAATGTCAGCTATTGTTTCTGATATCTTCAGTTCCAAAAAAAAATGAGATTTTTACATGCAGTTGCATTAAATTTATGAATTAACTTAAATATTCTATAATATTTCATTTTCCCCAACCAAGACATGTGCTACCTTTCAATTTATTCACATAGTTTAATAAAATTCAGACAGAAGCCAGTTCTCTTGTTGACCCCTGCCTCTCTCCACTGTTCACCTTTGTGGCCTTTGAGGAAGAGGAAGAGCATAGAACCACAGGAAACACTTGAAAACTACCCTTTGAGAGTCGGCCTTGTACCGGGCTTGGTGTGGGTGTAGGTGTGTGTGTGCATGCGTGAAATCTCCTTTAGCCTTTACAGCATCCCTCAGGGTAAGTTATGGCATTCCCTGTGGACAAAAAGCAATCTGGGAGCTCCCAGGTCACCCTTAATGAGAGAGAGAGAGCTAGGCCACAGGCACACCAGTTCCTCAACCACTCTGCGACATGAAAATTCAGAATGGGAGTTACTCAAAGAAGAGGCAGCCCCCCCAGAGGCGTATGAAGAAAACTGACTTCTCATCATGGCACACCCTTGCTTAAAAGCCTGCCACTGCTTCCAGTTGCATTTTGAATTAAGTCGAGAAGACTTACTATATGCCCTGGCTGGTGTGGCTCAGTGGATTGAGTGCCAGCCTGCGAATCAAAGGGTCAACTCTTCAATTCCCAATCTGGGGCACATGCCTGGGTTGCAGGCCAGGTCCCCAGCAGGGGGCACTCAAGAGGCAACCACACATTGATGTTTCCCTCTCTCTCTCCCTTCCCTTCTCTAAAAATAAATGAAATCTTAAAAAAATAAAAATAAAAAGACTTACTAAAGCCTATGAGACTGGCTCTGCTCACCCTCCAAACTCACCCATTACCACTCATCTGTTAGCACTCACCTGCTTTGTTTACTGAATGGTTCATCTGCACCTGTCTCCTTTCCATCCCATAACTATGCCAAGGTCCTTCCCACATCAGGGCCCACTTCAGGGCCTGGCACACTCGCCATTCCACCTTACCTTCTCATTATTCCAATACCTGCTTACTAAGGTGGTCTCTCCTAAGAGAACTTTACTGTCCATCCCACCTGCCTTCCCTAGCTATTTCCAACACAATTGTATTCATAATTTATATCTGTCTTTATTTTTCATTTTTTTGTGTTCTGTCACCCTGTCCAACCCCACAGACAGTCATCAGTCCTCCTGAGAAGAGAGATGTGCCTGTCTCATTCACCATGAGGCTAGCCCTTTCCCCGACAGGCAGCGGGTGAACAAGAAGGTGGCTACTAGGGCAGCTGGCAGCATCCAAGACCAGAGACTGGTACACCCATGAGTCACCATGACCATTTTCACCTTTGTCTCCACTTCCTACTACCTCTGTGATGTGGGGGTTAGAACCCCTTCTCCTCAGTGACCAAAGGGTCAGTGTTTGAAAACCCCATGTTAATCCTCTCTGTCCTGAGGCCTTGCCTGCTAATTCCACACAGGGCTGCTCTCTGCAGCTGAGAGTCTACCCAGGGCCTTGTTCTCAATGAGAACATGAGGGCCAGGCCTGGACTCTGGGGACCTACAGAGCCCTCAGCCAGGACACAGGATGTTTTCAAACCAGGAAGATCTTAAGTTCTGTAGACTTCCAGGTCCTGCTGTCATCAATCAGTGCCCCTCCTTGCCACTTAGTTGAGTGTTCCAGCTCCCTTCGATTAGTACAAGCGAGGCAAGTCACATAATAACTCCCCATGGCTAATCATCCAAGAGATCAAGTGATCACCACCAGAGTCACTGCTCACCCAATGCCACTGTCCACTGAGGCCTGGTCCGCTATGCTGCCCTGGTGGCACAGGCCACTGCCACATGTCTCCCAAACACCGGCCCTGCTCCATCTCCATGTTTTGGCTCCCACGAATCTCACCACCAGGCATCCTCTCTCTCCTATGCCATGTTGTAAGAAAAAAAGCAAGAGAGGCAGACAGCTGAGGGTCAAGTTCTGATTTAGTCATTGCTTCTTTATGACACCTTTATAGGACCGTTTCCCTCTCTGGGCCTCAGTTTCCTCATCTCTGCAAAATGGAGGTGAAGCCACCTATTGTGCTAGATCCTGAAAATCCAAGAGCATAATGTTTATAAACACCCTTTGCAAACTCTAAAGCACAACAGAATTATGAGAAATAATTGACCTAGTATCAAAACTACCTCCTCCAGGAGGCCTTCCTAGATCCCTCCACCTCATTCTTGATCTACCTAAGGCACTTGGCTTGTTTTTCCCTGGTCGCCTACCTTGGGAAAGGCACAGCCCCACAGCCCCATGGCCATCTCCATCCTTTTGTGCCACAAGTTCGGGACCATGCCCCACTCATTCCCAGAAAACTCTCTTTACTCCCACAGCACTCTTTTCCCTACTTGTG